CTTGAGTATCTGGCTGGATATTATCAAATTATTAAGCCTTTGGATTTAACTTCGGTTTCGTGATGCAAATGTAAGACCGGAGAAGCCTCATGAGCCGGCTGCAAGTGTCTGCTGCTTGGAGCTGGCAGTGTTGTAGGCGTCCCTTGGCTTGTGTGTCTTATGGGGAAACGCGAAGCGGATTTAGAAGAAGGGCTGTGCTGTGGAGGCAGGCATTGTCCCTCGTGTCAGAGCTAAGGAGAGTTGGATCTGGGGCGCTGGCTGTGAGATTGCAGAGCGAGACTGTGGGAGCCCCCAGGAGATAGCATGAGTGTGCCGTGACCTCGATGTTGTGTTCAGTCCCCACAGACGCCTCGTGAATGTGACTGGACACCTGTGAGTGGAGTGAACACAGGATGGGGGAGGCCCCTGGCCAGTTTGCAGGGCCTGGGTAGAGAGGCAGTGCCAGGCCTGGCTGCAGCTCTGGGCATGGCAGGAGAGGAGGCCATCACCCTATGCAATCTGCTCAGAGGGCTGTGGCTGCGTGGTGACCCACAGTTTCCCACCCCCAAGAGCCCTGGGGAGGGGAGGCCACCCGGGGACTCAGGTGGTCCCAGGGACAGGCTCTCCCACTCTTGGCTTTGCTGCGTGGCTGTAAAGCAAGATAGGGCACAGGTCCTGCTTTGGAAGGGGACAGCCACACAGATGGGTGACCAGCATGCCCAGGGTGAGCCGGTGGTGCCTTGATGGAGGGTGCCCCTGTGGGCAGGTGCTTCCGGGTAGGATGGAGAGGGCATAGTGCCGCCCTCCACCTGGCCCTCCCACTGCTGCCATGCGGGCCTCCCTAAGGGCATGACGGCATGGCTGTGCCGGCACAGCTGGTGGGTGGGGACACCTTGGCCACAGGTCAGGGCAGCCACCGTGATGATGAGGAGGAGTTTGCTCTGTCAGCATGGTGCTTGTCTGCTCCTTCCATGGCTTCCAGGTGGGAAGGCTTCAAGGTGGAGCTGCCTATGTGGGAGCTCAGCCAGCAGTGGGCTGGAAGGCAGCTCTGGGAGCACACCCCCCTGGGGGGGGGCTCTTGTGAGTGTGCTCAGCTGGGAAGGCCTGGAGTGACGTCAGTAGATGGCATCAGGTGGAGTGGCAGATGGTGTGTGATGTTAACATGGTTCTTTCAGGTCAGAGTAATTAGCAAGCCGCAGAAAGAGAATGCAGGTTTTCCCCGATGTCCAAAAGGAGAGTGTTCCAGTGAAACCTTTTGTAAACAGAAGCAGAGTAAAGGGAAGACTCTATGACCATTAATGTATATGGGAAACACCTTTCAGCCTTCCCAGACCCCAAAATAGCCTACAAAATCCTGCCCCGTAGCACATCAGACCTAAAATAACCCCAGAGTGTCCACAGACGCCGTGCGATGCTAAGGCAGCTTGATGCTGACATGCTGAGTGTCGTTCCCAGGGAAGGTGGTGACACCACTCCTGCTGCTTGGCGCTCGTGCTGCCTCTTTAAGGGCTCCTGCAAAACAAACACTGAATGCTAGTTTCACTTTTCGCCTTTTTTCATAAAAGCAAAAATCCTCTTTGGATGTCTTTTGGTTAGTGAAAGACACTAATGTAGGTTTTTAGTAAAAGCAAGGTGACGTAAAGCAGATTTCCATAAATCGAGGAACACCTGTATACATGAACTCCTGCAACACCAGAGTTTGGAGGGCGTGTGGACATGTGGGCTTCCTCGAGGGGCCCTGTTCCCCCCACTGCAACCAGGAATCTCTGTTCTACTCAGTCCTTCACGCCCACAGGATGGTCTGTAGCTGAAAGGACGTTTGTGGGCGTGGCCCAGACCTGTCCTGCCTTGGGAGAGTCCCAGGACTGCCCCCACTGAGTTGTGCAGGTCAGGCTCGACCTTGACATTGAAAAGATCCTAAGCACCAGTCTTTTCCTGCTCTGTGCAGGCTTTCAGTGTGTGTGTGTGTGTGTGTGTGTGTGTGTGTGTACACGTACATGCTATTCTCCAGGAAACTTAACCCCAACCATACTGTTCCTCGAGCACTTCACAGTGATCATCCCCCAAACTCAGGGCACCCATTAAAATGACAACTCAGGTACCGAGATGTTGGAGATGGTCTCACTGGGAAAGATTTTGAAACATTTGCCCGAAATCCTGCTGCTTCTCCCTTGTTCTGATAGGTATGACTAACATCTCAGAGCAGGATGTGAAAAGAAAATGCTATCCCCAAATAGAGAGTAAGATGTGTCCTAGCAAATGTTGGGGTTATCTTTTTTCTTAAGGTGGACTCTCGTTCATCTTGCCAAGAATCGGCATGCTTCCAGCATCTCTTTAACCTTTTTGTGACCCGTGGAACATACATCACCCACCTACACTTTCAGCCTCTGAGGTTTCTTGGGAAGCTGCTATCCCAGTTGTAGTACTTGCTGCTCTCTGACAGAGACCTGTTTAACTGCTTGAATCAGAAGAAGCAAGCCTCACCCCCCCCAATCCTGCCACCAGGGTCACTTGGGATGTGTCCCATATAATTGTGTCACAATCCATATTGTCTCAAAAAAAAGTTTCTTGCCTTGACTTCAGCATGCCTTTGATGATTGAAAACACGTGGTGTAGGGAGATAATGGTAACTGTGGTTGCAAGTTTGACTTTTGTAAGCAGCTTTGTTAAATGTTAAATGTACAAAGGCAAGTCATAGTGCTTGGTAGTGTCTGTGATTATGGGCCACAGTGCTCCCCCGGGCCAGGTGCCATGCACGGTGCTGTGTGTAAGAGCCTGTCACACTCTCAGGGAGGAGGGGTGCAGTGTGACAGTGCTACCTTGGGCCAGGTGAAACCCATGGTGCTGTGTGTGAGCCCATCATTCTGGGGGGGGCGGGGCGGGGCAGTGCAGTGTGTCCTCATTTTCAGCCTATTTCATGGCTCACCTGAGTTCACACAGGTAGTATGGCCTCATCAGAGTCCAGGTGCAGCTGTCACACAGCTGTGACCCTAAGAGGGGAGCTGTCATGTCTCCTTTTATACTCACGACAGCCCTCCTGGGAAAGAGGGGGATCTACCTCCCTTTTTCCTGGGAGGACCCAGCGATTTGAGCAGGCTCAGTCCCCATGGACCCCCGGCAGCTGGGGAGTGGCAGGTATGGAACCAGCCCCCTGGCTGTCTGGGTCAGCGTGCTCGCTCTCTGTCACAGTCTCCATCACCGAGGCTCCTTAGGGGTCTTTTTTCTGGTTCTTCCTTCGTTTTTCTTGTGAGGAAAGGCAGCTGAAATGAGCATTTTATTTTGATGTTGGAGAGTTTTGGTTTCTTTATGGGGAGGATTGTTTTAATTGAGCAAGCGGAAGAGCAGCTAAATCGAATGTACTTCACCTGTTGTGTCAGTACACAGAACAATCAGTGTGAGCGTAAGCAGGTGTGTCCATGCACACACAAGTGAGTGAGGGAATGAGTGAGGGATTTGCACATGAGCAAGTGGGAGTGAGTATGTGGGTGAGTGATGTGCGTGTGAGTGAATGTGGGTGTGAACAGTTGTGTGAATGGGTGTGAGTGAGTGCAAGTGAGCAGATGTGTGGGAGTGTGGGTGAGTACGTGTGGTCAGGTGAGCTAATGCATGTGAGCAGGTGTGGGTGTGAGCAGTGTGCATGTGAGTGTGCATGTAGATGAGTATGAGTGCAGGTGAACGAGTGAGTGGTGAGTGAGTAGGTGTGCATCTGGGTGAGTGTGTGCAGATGAGTGAGCAGGTGTGCATCTGGGTGCATATGAGCACGCGTGTGCATGAGTGAACATTCACACACGTGTGAGTAAACACACACGCACACCCACAGAAAGAACGGACCGTGATGTGATGCTCCATCCAGGCCGAGCTGGGCTGGGCCTCGAGTGCGCTGCGTCTCCTCGGGGCTGACGGGGCCGGGACTGTGGCGTGGCAGGCCCTTGCCCCTGGGTGGGCAGCTGTGCTGGAGGACAGAGCACGTGGCTTGGGCATCAGCTCCTCGGGGCCTGGGCGTTGGTG